AGATTGCCATTTTTAGCTGTCTTCTCACTTTCCCTTTTTAATCTTATCCATTCATACAGTTATAAGTACCACTGATATGCTGACGATGTCTAAGTTCATCTCTCCAGTCATGACTTCTTACTCAGCTCTAGACCTATATTTTCTACTCGCCTACTGCTTATCTCCATTTGGAGATTCCATGTGTATAGAAAAGTCAACATGTCCCAAATGGAACTCATTGTCTGCCCACATGCCTCATCCCACCCCCTGACCTTAACAGCAACAAAGGACAATAAATGACACCATCAGAAACTTAGGATTCTCCAAGTACTGTCACTTCTACCTTGTAAATGTCCTGATTTTATATCTTCTCCTTTACATTCCCGTCTTAATTCATCAGTCCTCCCTGGATTTTTGCAGTGGGTTTTCATCTCATCTCCCAACCTTAGGTCTCACTCCACCCTCCACATTTCAGAAGCATCTTCCTGAAGTGTGAATCTATTCATGTGATTCTCCTATTGACATCCCTTCATGGGTCCCTGCAGCCTTCAGAACAAAATTTAAACTCTTCAGCAAGCCACAAAAATGCTCTTCCTAACTGACCACCACCTACGACCTCAATACCAACTCTTATCACCACCTCGCTCCCAATCCTATTCCCACTCCCAGCTATTTTAAGCTATTTGCAAATCTCTAACCCCACTTATTTTTCCTGTGCCTTATTCTCCTATATGCCATTCTTTCTGCTTGGAACACCTATCCACATACCTCTGACTACTATCTTCACCTATTAATTTCCATGTAATACCTCAGTATTCCATACTCCCAATGCGCCCTGTGTATTTCCTCTTCCAAAGCACTTAGGATCCTACATTGTGATTCTTTCTGCACTGGCTGATTTAAACAGTGAATGCCTAGAATTTGAGGCCTATGATTCTATGCTCTACTTCTCCACATATATGGTACAGTATCTAGCGAGTAATAACAGATTACTGCTATGAAAACAAACAGTTCACTCAAAATTTGTGGCATTCGCCAGGAGTCAAACACCTAACTACCATCATATATATAGACAAAAACCACATGGGGAAAGATATCATAACCTTGTCTATATGATTTTATAAACATGAATTAGGAAGACAGAATAAATATGTAACACATAAGGCAATTTGAAATACCAAATAACAAACAAGTGGTGAAATCAACAAGTGACAAAGGAAGCCATGGGAGATACAGACCACTGGGTACTCAACTGGCTGCTCAGAAAAAGTTTTAGGGAAAAGATAAGACTTATGCTAAGCATAAGTACAGCAGGAGTCTGCAGTATAATGAAGAACAGTGAGTACCTAGATACTAAATTACATGAGGTCAGGGGACAAGTTGGTCTTGTTCAGTGCTCTGTCCCCAAGGCCTAACACATGGCCAAATCATAGTAGCCGCTAAATACACATTTGTGTTGAATTGAATTTTCAAGTGTGCAGCTGGTGATGCAAGAAAACATCTGTTAAAAAAAAAAAGGCAGCACTTTTCTCCATTCGCCATTCCATAAAAAGGTAATTTGTGTTATGTGTTTACTAGAACTCTTTCCTCAAAAGTGAAATATTGCTTCACTCTTTGGTTGGCAAATGTGTTGTTTTAAGAGGGAGGAGAATCTGCTTTAAATGAAGAGAAAGCTATTTCGGTTCATAATCCTCACAGCCAATTTTGGATCTTAAAATGTACTTTTCATCAAAGAATCTTAACAAAAAGATTCTTGCCAATTTAACCAAGACATCTAAAAATATGTCATTCTAAAGCCAAGCTTTCTGCTCAGGAGCATTCTAATTGAGATCACGTTCTTCCAAAGATCTTCCATTGGGTCAACAGTCACCTGAACCACATAGCCCAGATACCATCATCACCTTCCTAAGAACTCACAACTGCACGCTATTTAGGAGTTCTGCATTTTCCTTACGAGTATACTGGATTTCCAAGTTTTGCTGGAATTTCTTTGTACCCAATGGAGCTATTACAACAAACCAAACAAGACACACATGTAACTTTGAGTTGGAAATCAACTTAACATGTCCTCTTGCATTTCAAACATAAGGAAACTGAGACCTAGTGATGTAAATTACTGATCCAAGTACACTTAGGGCAGCAGCTGGAGTGGACACTGGGTCTCTTGAGTGCTAGCCTGATACTCAGTCTTCTACACTAAGATATATTCATAAAACATCAATACTTTCACATATATCATTTTATTAATTCTGGTAGTCACCTAACATCAGTAAAATGGGACTATTCTCCTCCTTTAACCAGTGAGGAAATTGAGCCCAGTTTGGCTGTGAATTCCCTCAGGATGACCAAGCAGCAGAAGCAGAAGTAGCATTCAAGACTCCTGACTCAGTTCAGAGTCTTTCTCTCATTGTCATTTACCAGGAACACCACATTGACATAGGCCTTCTTCCTTTCAGTACTAAGGAGTCAGTGACAGTTTAAATGGTCTGATGCCTATCATTCTTCAAAAGATTTGCTACAATAAAAAGAAAGTTACAACTACCAGAAGTTGCACGTCACAAAGGATAATGAAACAGAAACACATGTATTAATCAATTTTGAGATTTCACTTAAATAATCAACCATTCTTTCAGAACTGAATCTGATCAAAAAATTCTAACTCTTTTAGACCTGTATAAGGAGCAGTATGCCACAAACATTTTCTTATTTTATTTAGACACCAATGATGGAATTTCTCATCTGTTGCTTCAAATCAAATAACCATATTTAAAACAAAATAACAATATACATCACAAAATTTTTTTGAAAGATTAAAGTCACTGTGATTGCTAGCTGAAATAAGTGTTAATTTTTCAACAAGTAAAAATGTGTCTGGACAAGTCCACATGTGTTAGCAGTAGGCTAAGAAAGGAAACTCGCATGGAATTTTTAGGTTCTAATCATTAATGCTGCAATACTGTCCTATTTACAACCTGACATTTGTTTTTGCACTTTCAACATCCCATGACTTTTCAGCAACGGTAAATAGCCTTAAGAGATGACACCTCGCCTTAGCTGGGTCTGTATTTTGACTAGCCGGTCTTGGCACTGTGTCCAGCTCAGCCACCTCTCCAAAATGCTGCATGCAGGTAAAAAATGAACAAAACTTAAGGAGGCGAAAAAAAAAAAAAAACTCTACTACTCGAAACAATTTTAGGATATAGTACATCCAAGTTCTTAACTAACCTATTGCAGCAACTTATCATCGCATCATCTCTTTGGATTCTAAATATTTCTTAATTTTTCCTCAAAGAAAAAAGTTTGTCATCCTCTACAGAGGGAAATGGTAAAATAAAACTTGGGAGGAAAAAAGAGCATAAATAAATCAAAATGCAAAAGAGGGGAGTTTAATTCAACCCCATGTAGGACACACAGAACCACACTTGACTTCTCTATTCCTTTGTTTTTAGCAACGCAATTTAGATTCAAGTACTTGGGACATAGGAGGTACCCACATTAGGACATTTTTTATTTTTATGGTAAAACTCAAAATATAAACTGATGAAAGACCTCTAAAATCCCATAAAAGTGAATATTTGCATATCTGAGAAATTCAATATTTTCCCAAAAAATAAATATTCTCTACCCACACATGGAACTTTCATAATGTATGGGAAATCTGTGGTTCTAAATCATTCAGTATTGTCTTTTGTCTGTTTATATCCTATATGATAAAAAATTTCCCAATAATTAGAATATAAGAAAATACATGTCATTAAAAGATACTGAAAGAGTTCAATATTCCCTGGAGTAGTCATAAGATGTTTCATAATCTTGCTATATCTCAGGATTATCACCTACCTTTGGACAGTGTATAGGGACTAGGCTGCTTATTTGAGCTTCCTTTTTACCTAAATTTGTGTCCTGATGGCTGGCTTAGAAGAGTTTTGCATAAAACCTTATACACTACACCCTCTTCTTTAATAGGGGGTTACATTTCTAGGCAGAACCATGCCATAACACAATCTTGAAATGTGCTGTGTGCTATCTGGATTGAAAGTAACACTGGCATCTTACATTCAGATGTGCCTTTCTAGAGGGCCTTTTCCAAAGGGAAAAACTTCAAAAACACAGGGTTAGAAAAGTCACTGGAGAAATGGCCCAAGTAAGTGGGGGTATCTGAGACACTTGTCGTTGTCTTGTGTCTGTAGTGCCCCAGCATGGGCAGCAGGGGGCGCTCCTGCATGAAGCAAACCCCCCACAAGTGTTTCCCCAGTCGGAAAACAGAGGCTTTTTCTCTTAGCACTTGCCCCCAGTCCAAAGAGGTAGCCACTAAGGAGTGCTGCTGCCCATAAGCTGTACACGCTTGGGACACATGGCGAATAACGTTGCAGAAGTGACTGGAGACACACGGGTCTGAGTCTGCCTTTTGAAAACAGGGTGGCTAATTTTTATTTTATTTATTTTAGTGGGCAGGAGGGGTTAAAAGAGGCTGCGAACAATTGGCGGGATGGGGGATGGGGGATGGGGGTTCTTGCCATCAGCTGTAAAGAGGCCATCTCGGAAAGCAACAAGTGGACGTCAGTATCCCAGGGACATTTATTCAGTCTCTTGGCTACAGTTTAGTTTGCAGGTTATATTCTCTGTGAAACGTCAAATCAAAACCACCCCTTTTCCTCTGACCCCACCCCAAACCCAGAAAATCACTTCATGAACCCAGTTTCCCATTGAACCTTAGGAAATGTGGCTTCTGCAAGGGGTCTCATGCTTGTGGCTGCGTTTTGCATGTGAATATGTGACGCGTTTTACTAGATCTATGCCAAGTCCCAAGTATCAGAACCAGGTTGGAAAAATCTTTGCAGACCAGATAAGAGCCAGCTCTGAAACCTCAAAACACAGTGGGTTCCAAAGCAAAATCCCCTGCCCTCATCTCCACTTCATACACTACTCACACACACTCCACCTCCACCGCCTGGCTCCTTCCTCCTCCCTGTGCCCCAGTGAAGGTCTGTGGAGACACAACCACAAACCTCAATACTCACCATATTGACTTCAGAAACCATATCAATGCTGGCGATGTCAATGTTCATTCCCACGGCCACTGGGGGACCTGCAAACCAAGATGGTCAGCCACGTGATTTCTCAGAACTTCATTCATTCTTAGCAAGAGTTGTCCCTGGTAATGGGACACTGCCCCAAATCCCTCCCCACTGCTCATCCTCAAATTCTCCAATTCCCTGCTCCTTTTTATAAAGGTGGCAGGCCCTCCTCTGGGAAATGCTCTATTGAATATGCACACACGTGTCCGGATGAGTGAGGGATTCCAGCTCTGTCTACATATGTAGATGTCTCAGCAGGAGAATACATACAACTCACAAAAGCACAGGAATCCTTCTACCCCAAGGGAATTTTGTATACTGCACTGAAACCCCCTCCTCCTCATTCTTTCCCACCACCCCCTTCTGTGTGCAGATTTTAACTCTTTGAGCTTTCTTAGAGTCTGAGGCAAAATTAAATGGGTGTATCAGCATATCTAAGGCTGCATCGAGAGAAGTCCCTGGCTCTTCTCCCCCCCTAACCTCCCTATCCTGCAAGCCCCCCAGGCTCCCTCCCTTCACTTGCCCGTGCAGGGAGGCTTCCACTACTGGATAATATTCTGATATCACCCACTTTAAACCATGGCCAGAACTCTTCCAAAGTAGGCGGGCACAAAGGGTTAATGCCACTTCTCAAACAATTGCCTACACAGCTTGTCCTCAAAAATGTTCATGATGGCCTTCAGTAAGCCAGGTTCTCTGGACACACCATTAACTAAACTTAAGAGGTTTGTATCTCAAGGAATCAAAGATAGTGAAGCAAAGGATTTAAACAGCGAAGCTGAAGGACAGCGGTCACCAATACACGCTAAGAGGGTCTCACTGAAAAATGATCAAGTGCTGGATAGTAACAAAGCAGCTTAAGTTTGGATCAGTTTCTCAGTCGGGTAACACAGAGACACACTCAGTACACCACATGCACCCACAATGAGGAAGAGGGAAGACAGCGCGCACAAGGCTCAAAAGACAGCTTGGGCTATAGCTGGACTGTTTCTTATTTCCAAGGCAACTCCATTACCTCCAAAATCTGGTCTCAAACGAATGTCATAGCCTTTCAGGAGTCTATCCACCGTCTCTTTAACCAGCGACATATTACTAGGGTCATTGACACTAAAGAAAAAAAAGACAATAAACAGGCATCAGTAAGGCAGCAGGCACAGCGTCTTCAGGCTCTATCTGATCCTCACTACAGATCCCTGCTCACAGAGGTATGCAGACAGAGCCCGTCAAAGTGAGAAACGGAAAAGAGAAACGCTGGGCACACTTACCTCTGCGCACAGACAGCGGCGATTATTAAGGGGAACGACCAAATCCCAAAGTAGCCCTTTTTCCGAACTCTCCACATCCCTTTAGTTTTTGATGGGATTGAGGGTTTCACTGAAGAGAGGAGATCCAACTTAGTCTGCCCAGTGCAGTAATTCTAATGTGAGGCGCATGCGCACGGCGTACCAAAACATCAAAGGGGCAGCGGCGGCTGCTTGGGACCGAGCAGATTTTCTTGTTGAGGGAAAAAAAAAAAAAAAAAATTAAAGGGGAAAAAGGAAGGACATATATATGTATAACATATACATATCTGAATAATATAGAAAAGTCACCCTACAGGAGCACCCAGGGTAAAATTTTTGTTGTCCTTTCGTTAAGACAAAAACAACTAGAGCGTCTGGTAAGTTTTGGCAGTTGCAGGGGGCAGTTTTGCACCTCGCAGGTTGTAGGTTGTGTGTGTGTGTGTGTGTGTGTGTGTGTGTGTGTGTGTGCTCTTAAATATGCAAAACCAGATTAGGAATTTAGGGGACAGCAAATGTGGAGTGCGAGTGGAAGATGGGTGTCTGGGAGCCCACTTCTGGTCTCAGCAAGCAGACGGGGGAGAGTAGTTTGAACTTTATTTCCTTGGCAAATAGCATCCCCTGTCTGGGGCGAGATAGGTGCTGGAGGTGGGGGTTGAGCGGTGGAGGAGGGGAGCGGATGGTGGGAGTAGGAGTCCAAGGGGGAGGGAGGGAAGAAACCAATGGGAGGAGTGCTGAGCAATCCGTTGGATTTGGGGCGGGGTGGGGGGGGTGGAGAATAAGAAAGACACCCAAAAATAAAAAAGGAAGAAAGAAAAAGAAAAGAATAAAATAATGCCTGGTCTTTTCTAGGAGTCGAGGAGCAAGCTTTTCTTCACTACTCACGAGCGATTTCTTTCTTCTCCTCACCATTTGCCCCCTACTCCCAGAGAAGAAAACCTCGGGGTCCCGGTTTCTCGCGGTGTGACGTGCCCGACCCGCTAGTCCGGATTATTTATAGCAGGGGCGGGGGGCGGGGGGCGGGCGAGGGAGCAGAAAGGCAATGCTGTCTCCGGGTTTCGGTCTGATTCTGCATTGGGAAATTATTAGTAGGGAGGGTGGGGTTTGGACGAGGGAGTGATGGGACATGGGGGCGTAGGGAATGCGGGGGCGAGAAAGCTTGGGCGGCGACAAGGTACAGGAAGGGCAGGTGGCCGGTGGGACGCGCCTGGCGGGCCCCCCACGCCCCCTCAGAGCACGCGCACACGAGCGCACACGTGCAGGCTCACTCCCCCCACCCCCCACCCCCCCGGCCCGCCTTACCTCGCCGGCCTGCGCTCTCCTGCCACTCGGGCCGCGCGGAGCGGGCACCCCCGGGCCCTCTGCCCTAGCCGGGGAGGGCGGGTGGTGGGTAGGGACACCTGGCTATTCAGGGGCTGTGATTCGGGATGCGAAAAGCCAAAGCGGTCCCGAAAAGGCAGACAAAATGAGGAAGGGAGCCAGCGGCCGCCCGGGGACACCGCGTTCTCTCTCTCTTCGCGCCACCTCGTCCCCTCTCTCTTCGCGCCACCTCGTCCCCTCTATGTTTCCCGCGGCCGGGAAGGACTCGCACACCCCGAGGCTGCCTCCTTCCCTCCCGCCCGAGGCTCGGCCGGGCTTGCCACGGCCGCGGGGACAGGAGGAGGTAGCGAGCTCTTTGGGGGGTTGGAGAGGGAGGGAGATACTCAATTCACGGAAGAAATCTTCCCTCAGCTCGAGGGGAAGAGACGTGCCGCGGGCGCAGGGAGGTGCTGAGGGGCTGGGGGCTCGCGGCCGTCTGAAGCAGCCCGAGACCGGGGCGGATGACTCGGGGTACTCCCCAGCTTATCTTGAAACCCGGAGGAGGGAGGTAGGGTGGGTGCCCCGCTCCCCTTCCCCCATTCCTCTGTGAATAACTGGAGAAGTCAGAGCTCAAACCGACATTCTGGACCCGAGAGCTTAACTTCTAATTCCTCCTCCTCCTAATCATTGTTAGCATTAACTGAGCGCCTACTACGTGCCAGGAGTCCTGCACTAATTAATTCTCACAGCAATCCTAGGTTTAGCTATGACCTCAGTTTTCCCGTATGATGGATTTAGAAACTGGCGCACTGAAGCTGAGGAGCTTGCTCAAGGTCACCCAGGTGGCTAGAGGTGGAAGCAGGATTGGACTCCAAAGCCAGCATCTCTAACCACTAGACTAGACAGCCTGGACTCCCACATCCCCGACCTTGCCGGCTGCAGGCTCCTGGCGGCGGCGGAGCTCCCTGCGCCCGCGGGCCCAGGCTGCTGCGGAAGGAGCGGGCGCGCGCACAGTGTCGGGCTCGCCCGGGCGCGGGTCTGAGGAGAGGAGGGGCGCGCGCCGCCACGGCAGGCGGCAGTGGGCTCGCGGTCCGAGCTGCACTCTTGAGCCGTTTGCTTCTGACAACTTCCCTCGTCCCCCGACTAGGTCCGAGCGTCTGTCTGGGGCAGTTTGGGGAAATGACTCCAAGGGAAGTGAGGAGGTGGGAGGGCCGCGAAGCAGGAATCCAACAGCTCCCCTGGGAGGGAAGCGAGCAGGAAGGGAGAGCTGCGTGCCTTCACCGAGTAGGTTTCTGGATTAGACAGGGGAAACAGCCCCGTCAACAGTGCTCGTCTACGGCGGGGCGTCTACAGGCTCCCAGGCTCATAGGAGTCTGTCCAAAGATAAACACACACACACACACACACACACACACACACACGAAGAGAGAGAGACAGAATGGCACACACACACACACACACACGAAGAGAGAGAGACAGAATGGAAATCTCTAACTCTCCCATCCATAATTACTTGGGTTGAGAGTTACAGGAATCTAAATATAGACCTATGGCCTAGGAAAATTGCTGATTTTCCTCTCGTTCTCTTTACTGTCACGCACAATGGGAATCTTTTACACAAGCTAACTATATTGAAGGGGAAATAATTTTAGATCATTGACATTATACCAGAGGATTCCCAAAGAAGTTTGAACTTCAGCTAACCAATTTGGTGAAGCCCTAGAAAGCTTCCCTTCTTCCTCTTGAAAACACCTCAAAACAGGGCTTTTCTTCTGACCATTAGCTATTCACTTTCTGGGCTGCCAGCCCCTCCTGGTTAGGCTCACTTCAATTTGGGTTGAAAGAACAAAATTGAATAAGCAGAACAAAAGCACAAATACTGTCATCCACCAATAATAATAGTAATGGTCCAGTGAATGATTAAACAAGTATTTATTGAAGTCCTACTATATAGAGAAAATTACAGGAGAGGAGGGCAAAGAGCTAAAATAAAAGTACCTTGCATCTCAGCAAGTAAAACAATAGCACAGCACAAACTGCGAGTTTCAAAGGAACTGGAGGGAGAGCTTTGGGTTCAAATCCCAATTCAAACACTTAGTATTTTTGTGACTTGAGCAAGTCACTTAACCTCTCTAAGCCTCAGTTTCCTTTTCTGTAAAAATGAGAATAATAATAATAATACTTTCTCCTTTGATTGTTGTAGGCTGATGTAAATATATGTGTAGCATTTGCCATGTAATTAATAATTATTAGCGCTTTTTAATGAATAAGGCACAATGAATGAACAGGAAAGAAATCAAGGTTTAATAGCATTAATCTATAAAGACTGAGTGGACACAAATTTGGTGCAATTATCATAGATTGGCCTGAGAAAAGAGGAGCAGACATTTCAAGGGAATTAAGATAAGGTTAAGAAGGAAATGTATTAAAGACCCAAGTAGCAATCAAAAGGAGAAAAGACAAAAGAGTATTTCTTCTCCTTAAGTGGTAACATTTCAGGGATATATTTTACTAATAGCTGTAACTAATATAATTAAAGAGATATTCCTACTAGTTACAAAATCTGAGATCAACTTACGCCTAAAGTGAGTCTGTATTGTACAGCAGAATCAACACTAAGACATCTCTCTGGAAGACTTTGCTGCCTAGGAATGTGAAAATTGGAAGAATAATGTGCAATAACAGTGCAAGGGAGAGCACTGTTGGAATCTGGAGATGTGTCAGTTACTGGAGAGCATCCTCCATGATCCCAGATGTACAGTGAGAAAACAAAATGTAAGTACTCTTAAGAATCATGGTTCAAACACATCTCTCAGTGTGAAGCATATAAATGGCAAGTAAAAACATTCACTAATCATCTGCTATTAGTCTTTACCATAATATTCATTCATTTATTCAGTAAATAAGTATTGGGCACCTACTCTATGTCAAACATTATTTTACGAGCAATGAGGATGATGTGTTGCAAAGGCCGACACGGTACTTATCCTCCTAGAGCTTACACTCCAGTGTGGGGAAGAGCCAGTAATAACAGTCGTAGCAGTTATTGTGAAGTGGGAAAGATTGATTATTGTGGAATCCATAATGGGTGCAAATAACTCAATTTGAGGCTTTAGGTAAAACTTGCCTGATAAAGTGATGTTTCAATTGAGATTTGAAAGATAGGTTAGCCTAATGAAGAGTTGGGGGAAGAATATTCCAAGGAAGAAGAAATAGTATGTGCAAATATCCTGGGCCAAGTGAGGATGGCATAAAGGAAGAACAGTAAGACTAGACAATGGGGATAAGAGAGGCTCCAGAGTTACGTGGTTGGATTGCTGGGCAGGAGCAATTTGGGACCATTGATTGGTTGAGGAATGACAAGATGAGTTTTAATCACACTGGAAGAAAGCAGTAATGGCTGTAGGGGATCTGTTACTGCAGGAATCCAGGTGAGATGTGGTGTTGGTCTGCATTAGGATAGTGACAGTGAAGATGGAAAGAAGTGGCTAGAGTTATATGGGAGAACTGGCTAAACTTTGCAACAGATAGGATATGGGGAATGGAGGAGAAGAAGGATTCAAGGATGACTCACACATTTCTGGTTTTAGTGGTAGAATGGAAGAAATTTGATGGGGATGATTCATTCGGTTTGGGTCATAATAAGTTTAAGGAACCTGCTATCCATTGAAGGTACACTGGACATGTTGATATATGCACCTGAAGCTCAGAACTGAGGGTGAGCAGGGGCCAATACACAATTTCCACGTTTCATCTTGACACTTTATGTCCCTTTTCTGCTTTATTTTTTCTCTTTAGAACATATTAATATCTAACATTTTATCTTAACCATTGTAATTCCATCTTCCTCCATGAAATGAAAGTTCAAAAACACATAGATTTTTGTCTGCTTTGCTAACTGCTGTATTGCA